TCTACTTTCGATCGATCGATCAAACCCGTCGTCTCCGGTGTCCGAGTGGAATATCAAACGGAAAAACAGTCCTTCTCAGTTCGGCCGTCAGATGGAATAAAGATCGAAAGGTGGAGGGGAGAGAGGAGGGAGGGGAGAAAATGGAAAAAGGAGAAAAAGTGGAACGTAGGAACGCGAGAATAGAGAAACGTTCGCTTAGCGTGACTGGTAATAAAAGATCTACGCGAGATAAGCGGACGCTCGCGTAATAAGTAAAACCGGTTTAAGAGACCGTCGACGATAATACGAATCGATGTACACACGGTTAAAGGATAAAGACGAAAACGCAATTTGAGCCGAGTTGCGCGATTCACCTCTTTCTTACGCCTTGTGGCGTAACATCAAAAAGGGTTGGAGGTGATAAATGTCTTCGAAAGGACGAAGGTGGTAGGCAACGAAACGAGAAAGTGCAAACATATGGGAGAAAGAAATAAAAAAAAAAAAAAAAAAAAAAAAAAAGAAGAAAAGAGAAAATCGCGATGCGAGCCTCGGGCGATTATCGCTTGTGCAAACGTTGCCTCGAAGGAATTTATAAAATCAATGTTTCTTCCGAGAAACCGTTGAAGAACACAATGAATTTAACGAATTTTTTTTTCCAAATACGAGGCAAGAAAATGATACGATAATAAAAATGTAAAATTTCGAGTTTCGTTTTTGTGGTTGGTTATCGGTTAAATTTGATCGGCACTCGATACGTCCACTTTCTCTCTCTCATGCTATCAATGTTTTCGCCGCTTTTTGAAGCAAAGTAGCGGGACAGAGACTGTCCCGTGAGAGAATATCGATTCGGTTGCCCGCTCCATGATCAAATCCACGGTTCCATCGTTCAATTCTTTTAACCGAAGAGATCCCGATTCTATTTTTTTACGACACGATTTAAAATTAACATCTTATCATTATTTTTTTTTTCTTCCGTTTTTTACGATTCGCACAATTATTACGCGAATACTCGAAAGATTTTTACACCTCCTACGTTTTAAATAATAAAGAACGAATACTTTCGAGTATATGTATGTATACATAAATAGTTTGGATGGATAATTAATTAAAATGTTTTTTGAACAGATCAGTTAACAAATTTACGTTAAAATCATCGACCGTGTTCGATATCGTGTAACAATTTTGTTCGAGTTTGTTTGTTAAATATTTCGAATAGAGATTGTCGCTTCTCGCGATTGAATACGGGATATGCACAGGAATATAGTACGTTAATGCGATTGGAATGCCACTGAAATTAAAGCCACCTTTCACGGGAATGTAATGACTCTTTATAAACTGCGACGTAACCCCTGTTTCCTCGGGCCACGCGGCACACTCGATTGCCATCACAGTCGTGTCCTACTTTCTTGGAATATTCGAGTAACCAAGTATCGGTAGATAACTCGTGTTTAACATGCGTTTAGCGCATAATACCAATTTAATTATTCATATAGTTGTGTTTATTTTACAACGAAATAATTTTTAACGAATCGATTTCCCCTTTTCTGGAATTTTGATCATTTTGCTTTCTACCTATATCGATAAATCTTGAATTTTCGAAAATCGATCCGTATGGAACGGAAATTCAAAATTCTATGTTTACATCGTAAAAAATGCTCGTAAGTATAAATTCTAACCACTAATAAATGAATCTGGAATATCGAGTATAATAAGGATTATTTTATTTCTCGTTTTTCGGAAGGTATCGTCAATTTTTTTCTTTTTTTTTTTCTTTTTCATTTAGAATAAAAAAATGATTTTTTCCCGTTTGTGCCAATGTTGCGAACAATTTCTTTCGTCATCGTTTGACCGCGCGCGCGTCATACGTCGCGAGTCCTCTTTCCTCTGTTCGTTGCGCCACCGGCCTCTTTCAATCCTGTACACCACGTCCCTCCGCTCCCGTCTCTAAACAGGAACCCCACTCCTATCTTGTGGCCCCTCTCCGTGTTTCAAACCGACCCCTTTCTTCCACGATGTAGCGATCGCAGCTTGTTAACTGGGCCACGAACCACCGACTACGAATATTATTCGCGTGATTCGATGTGATTCAAAAGTAAACTATTATTATACGCGTATCGTATATCGAAAAACGGTATTTAATATTACCGCTTTGGGATTTTCTTAGCGCGCGTAATCGAAACATCGGATATTTCGATCACGGTATAATATAAGATTCGATTCCCTCGTCGTCGAGAATTAGATCGAGTTTCAACTTATATGTACGTATATATAAATATATATATAGATATATAATCGTACGATGAATTGTATTTCGTTATGTAACGCGAAAATTAATTTTTTCATAAACATATCAGAAAAAAAAATCGAATCGAAAAGTAAAAAAAATCGGTCTTCCAGATTCAAATATAAATCACATTTGTTCGTACATTGTCGTTAAATTCATTCCTTTTAATTATTTTTCTCTATGTTTTGAATAACAATTGTCCATTTGTTTAACTGTGGTAACTAAGTCGTATATTTGTACAATTTTTCGTAAATGAGCGGTAGTACGTCCAATGTACGTCGTTTCGCGTTGTATCGTATCGTTTCGTTGCACACATTGTATCCTTTATCGATATACGTTAGACAGGGGGCGCACGAATCTACTCCCCTGTCGAGAGATCTATCCCCACTATCGAAGCGTGCCACAAACTGAACCTCCCTTCAATCATTCCCGCGCCGGCCGCCGCGAGGAGCGCGCGTCGTTTTGCCACGCTGTCACGAGTTACGCCACGAGTCGAATACGTTGTGTATGTGCATAGCGATTTGTATTTTGGTTACGTGTTATGTTTCGATAAAATCATTGTGTACGTGTTTACCTATGTCGATGTAACGTAACGAGAGCGCGTGGTGATGTGAAAACGTGTTGCTTGATTAGTGTCGACGTGTGCATAGACGGTCGAATGACAAAAAGTCGTCGAATCGAATCGTTTCGTTCGTTTCGTTTCTATCTTATCGAACGTATGTAACGTTTCCTTTCGACTTGTTTTCTTTCGAATCGAATCATTTTTACAGAAAGAAGCTGCGTTTTAAAAGAGAAGGATTCATCGTGGTACGCTAACGGTATCGCGGCACGCTGCACGTTACACGTGCATTCGATAACCTGGATCCCATCCCGACGAGTCGTCGGTTCGTCTCATCGGTAAGTCATCGATCTTGGGATTCTTTTAACCGATATCAATCAACGTTACTTTTTATCGGGAATTTTCTCGATAGCGGTAATTGTAATTGAATTTTTGAGCTTCAAAATTAAGATTCGTTATTCTATCTGAAATGTTTGCTTTCGAAATATATTCGAGATAATCTTGAGCCGCCATCTGTTGGTGGAAGATTCAACTTTACGAATGACGCCTATTCTAATATTCGTAAATACTTTTCGATCGTTGGATTCTTAAATTGTTTCTCAAATTGGATCGATCGATGATCGTTGTATCGTTTGTATCGTTGTATCGCGTGAACTAGGATATCGTATCGAAATATCGAACCGTATTAAAATTATAATATTAAATTCGTTTACGTTTCGCACCATTTCTAACGTTTTAGATTAAAAATAAAATTGAAACGATATTTAAAAACATTTCCTTCATCCAACGAAGTAGTGGGCACGTTCGACGAGATTATTTTTGGGAAGAAGATGTATAAGATCTTTTGAGAAAAATTGGAAAAAAACGACGAGAAAAAGGAACGAGCTACAGATTACAAATGGTGATGATGTTGAATATGAGGTGGGAGCGTAGCGGGGCGGGAGGGATTGGGACGAGAAACAGGTTTAACATCGGTTATTATACGCTGAGTAAGAGTATACTCTTTGGTATACATCTATTGAATATCTCTAGCTTTTGCTTTGCTTCTCTCTTGTTTCTTACTTACTTCAAATGGCTCTCCTTTCTTTTTCTCGATGTTTTTCTAATTCATGTTATTATAACTACCTTTCACACTCTGTTACTATGCGTTATTATGCTTGCTATTTAAATCTTTCGAACACTGTCAAAATGGATAATCGACGGATTTAGACGAAAAAGTTATTCGAATATATCGATGTCAAGGTATACAACGAATGATTTATCTTCTTTTCGTTCGTTAACTAAAAACGTAATTATAAATAATATTGGAGAAACGAACAAACGAACAAACGAACGCGTGATTATTAGTCGAAACAAAATATCCATTGTCAAAATTGACAGGTTAATGAAATATTCTTCGCACGAACTCACTACTCGTTTCGATTTGGATTTTCTCGTTGATCTTTCTTACATCTCGTCTATCTACCAATCGACTATCCAACCTATCTACCTATATACCTATCTACCTGCTTGTCTGCCTGCTTGCTTACCTACCTACCTACCTACCCACCTACCTACCTACCTACCTACCTACCTGCTCGCTTTCTTGCTTGTCTGCTTACCTACCTACCTGCCTGCTTGCCTGCCTGCCTGCTTGCTTGTCTGCCTGCCTGCCTGCTGTTGCTTCTATTGGGAAAAGTAACGTATCGTGCACCTTACCTTCTTCTTTTTCTTTCCATCACGATTAATTTTTCGTTATCCTCCCTCCTTCTTATACATCGTCTTTTATCATTTATGTTATCGTTCTTCTTCGAAATTGTTGTGATATGATTAGTTTTTTTAATTTAAATAAATACCGTTCGATTTGATTTTTTTTTTTTTTATTTCGATAATTTCCAAATATTTTTAAATATTTACTTTTCGATTCATTTCATTGATTTTTCTATTGAATCTTATTTAGATATCTCGTTTCGTTCAATTTTACGATTTCGAATCGAATGGATAATTCCTCCACTCGATAAAAATCGTGCGTTTCAAAGAGAACGTAAATTCGTGGTAAAAAATTGAAAGAATTGAAAGATTCCAAAAAACGATGAGGAAAGATGTAGGTAAGAACGAAGAATTTATAGATTGTCCGGTTCCCCCGACAAATTTATCCTTGCTAACTTGTTACATCATCGAGACGGAGATAAGGCGAGAAGAAGAAATAAACGTTCTCTTTAGTTGTAAATTAAAAAAAAAAAAAAAAAAA